AATTTACATAAAAAGATAAAAGTTAATTTAAATTTTGTTAATCGTCAAATTAAATCATTTTACAGAACATTGGTATTGAAAATAAAATTTACTTTCATAATTTTTCATATAAATTAATAATAATAAAATATAATAAATGTACCCTTCATTTATATCCTTAAAATATAGTATAAAAAAATCCTTATTAACTAAACATGTACTGATTGAAATGTTAGAAATCAAAAGATAAATGAGAATATAAGGGCATGACATAAACCAGTTTCCTCTTTAGATCATTACAAATTTACAACAACCAAATTTTCTTTTACTTATGTTCTTTCTTTTACTTTATGGGCCCTTCTACTGCTTTTGTTTATACTTTAATTAAAGGTGCAATATTGGTGATGACTGAGTGATGTTATTACCAATTGCAGTGTTTAAGAGTGTACCAATAATCTCATCCTTCTTTAATACTTGTCATAATGGAATATAACATGAATAATCATATCCTTCTTCAATCGTTTTTCACTCATCTAAGATTCAAAAATTCAGAGTTGAAGGTTTTCTGAAACATATAGGTTTTAGGAGACAATCAATTAATGCTATTGTGATAACGAGAGTGGGATGGTTTTCTCAATGCATTTCGGTGGGAGATGAAAGGGGAAGGAGAGAGCCAAAGGGTTTAAACGCGTTACACAAGTGTCTCAGCAACTAAGACTCGAAAAGAGGAAATGTAGCTATCTCAAATCTGAAGCATCTAAGGCAGTGGTTAACTGCAGTTGCTACCTTGAAATTTCAACTTCAACAACCCTGACGCAAGAGGTTTCATTGTCTAAGTTGCATCAAGTTTCTCCATGGCGAATTCATTAGTCATTTATTTCCATTGACTGAGTCCAAATTAGAACGGCCACAAGCCAACCAGTTTACTATTCTTTCATCAATTTCATATTCTGTTCTCTTGTATTTGTTAAAACATCTTGTTCCCAAACACGTTCAAAACATACGATTCTGGCCAAGATTTATGCACAATCATTAAAAAAAAAAAAATCACCAAATCATCAGGGTAGATCCAGGATATCAAACCGTTACACCTGCCTATATTTTGGTTTTTGAAAATTGCCAGTTTGGTATGCTTTTTTTTTTTTTTTTTTTTTTTT